TATCTATCTATCTATCTATCTATCTATCTATCTATCTATCTATCTATCTATCTATCTATCTATCTATCATTTATAAAAATATAAAGATTATGTTGTCGATTGAGGAAAACTGTTATGGAACATTAACTAGAAAAAACAGTGATTCTTTTTTCTGTGTTTTGTTCAGTTTTATATTTGGCAAATTTCAGAATTGTCAATATACAGGGAAAGAATCTTACAGATAATATCAAAAGAAATTTTCGAAAACCAGAGGAAAAGTTTGGTGGATTTATGGTATATATTTTAAAAGTTTTGACAATTATTTTGCTTGCTGACCTAGCAATATAGCATAACGGCTAGGATACATGTGCAGAATGTGTGGGTCAAAATCTTTCATTTTTCTGCTCATTTATTCCATAAATATACTAAAAATAGACACCATAAATATACTGTGTGGTGGCGTAGTAGTTAGATTGCAGGCTAATTGTGTTGACTTGTCAACTGCTGTTTGGGAGTTCAATCCTGACCGGCTCAAGGTTGACTCAGCCTTTCATCCTTCCGAAGTCGGTAAAATGGGGACCCAGAGTGTTGGGGGCAATATGCTAGCTCTGTAAACTGCTTAGAGAGGGCTACTACGAAGTGGTATATAAATCAAACTGCTATTGCTATTGCTAAGTGATAAACAAGTGAATAAAATCTCTTCAAAGTCCTCCAAAAAAGAAAAAAGAATATGACTTCTACTAAAAGGAATTAACAAGATTCTGAACTAGATCCTTTTTTCTCTGAAGTACCTTATACATTCGGAGTCATAGGGTATCATCCTGTACATTCAAATTCAGCAGTTTCCCTGGAAACTTTGACAGTGATGGATTTTCTTAGGCCAACAATGTCAAATAACATTTATCTACGTTAAAGCAAGTCAGTTATAAATGAGCAACTTTGTATGAATGTCCATGTGGGAAGAAACATGTAAACAAAATTAATTAGTGTGATTTTTCATCATGCCATTCCCTTTTGGAGTAATCGATGTTATACAAAGCATAGGAAAAGAATAAGAAGTAAATAAATAAATTAAAAAGGAAAGGAAATATAACTATAATTTAGACCAGAGGTGGGTTGCTACCGGTTCAGGCAAACCGGTAGTGGAAATTGCAACTTGGTCGCTGAACTGGTAGGGACGGCAGGCTGGCTGGTTTTCCAGTTGCCGGCATGTTTTTTAGTCCTTTTTAAAGTCCTGCACATACGCAGAACAATTTATAGAGAACTGTGCATGCACCGAACCGGCAGTAACCCATCCCTGATTTAGACCACCGTCATTCTCTGTATCTGTCCTTCCGAATATCCATGTTTCCACTATATAAATTTCTACACCGCCTGTATGACTAAACCAACTCAACTGCTTTTGTCTCTGTTACCTTTTTTTATATTCAATCCACATCCATTCAGCATGCATTCATTCCTGACCCTATCTTCCCCCACTTTTTTTCTTCTTCAGGAGCTTATGTTTATGTTTCTCCTGACAGCCAACTCTAACTTCCACATAACTAAGAGAGCAAAAGCACATTCTTATAGACAGCCTTTGAAGCTTCTTTGGACAAGCATACATCCTTTGCAACATATGACATACTGCCCATTAAAGCCAAATGGTTCACCGACAAAAGGGCGACCGACAAAAGCGCGCCCGACTAAACCACGGTGACAAAACCGCGAGTTCTAAACCACGCCGACGAATGAGCGCTGAATTGCGCCGACAACAGCGCACTGACAGAAGTGCGCTGTAAACCTAACCCTAACGCTAACGCTAACCCTAAACCTAACCCTTACCTTAACTTAAATCGCTCTTCTGTCGATGCACTGTTGTCGG